TATGTGTGGAGTGCAAGTAGAGGAAAGGCTGCAGGAAACCCTGTCAATGAGAAGAGTTGTTTTAGACAATTACAGATGACAGGAGTCATGAAAATAAGAGAATTTAGTTCTCAGTATACATGGGGAGAAAGCAGCCACATGGTCCCCAGGGACCTGCTTTTCCACACCATGGCCCTGCCACAGCCTTGCAAATGTGGAGCTTCGAGGCCAAGGTCTGCTAGAGGTCTGTCTGTCCGCTTCCACTGTGCTCTGCTCTACCTTTGAGTCATCGTCTCCATCCCCATCTGCAGGCTGCAGGAACCATGCACTGGGAAGAGAGCCAATTGGGAACCCCACTGGAAAGTGTGTGTGTTTTCATTTCCTGAAAGACTTTAAAATTCAAATGGTGTGTTTGCCTTGTGCATGACCTGTCCCCACCCCTGCCTTTTCTCTTCTGCACCCACAGTGCTACTCCTTCCTTATAGCCAGTTCTCCTCTGGCCAACAGCATGAGCAGGAGGGATCAAACCTGGCAAGTACACAACGTTGATGTTTTCCCGGGTCTGTGTCTGGCTGAGCTCACTCAGTTCATGTGAGAGCAAGGAGCCTTCCTGTGAAAAACTCATGTCTAGGGCTCACAACTGGAATTCACTGATAGATTTTGGGGGTTTCATGGTCCCCTCATTCCTCACATTGTGTGCAAAATTCTGTGTTCTGTGTGTAGCATTTCATTACTTTTCCTAGGTCCTCAAAGACATCCCCAGAAGGTTAACATCTGCATGAACACCAGAGGCCCATCTCTTGAAGGCCAGCGGCAACTAAACTCTGAATAGAGCTGGGGCAGTGGCCCTGGAGACCCTGCAGCCACTGGGAGCTGGAGGCCAAGTGTCACAAGGGCCTGGACCAGCACCAGAGTGGAGCTGTGTGAAGGGGCAGCTCCTGTTGGCCTTTACAAATTTCTTTCATCTCCTTTATCCCTAGACTGGTGTGGCCTAAGAAAGCATGGACTTTGCTCTCCTCTTTCCTTTAAATGCTGATTAAACCATCAATTGAAATACAGAACTAGGAGCTGGGGCTGGGGCTCAGCAGCAGAGCACTCATCTCGCATGTGTGAGGCACTGGGTTCAATCGTCAGCACCACATATAAATTAAATAAAGTCAAGGTATTGTGTCTACCTATAACTAAAACAAAATTTTAAAAAAGAACTAGGTATGAAAATGTTTTTGAGACACTTACCTGTCCGCCGTGCCTGTGCAGAGCCTCTCAGAACTTCTTGGATTTGCAGACGCTCCATTGGTGTCCCCACCAGAGGTGGACAGTGGGGTTGTCCAGAAGCAGCAACAGCTGCGCCAGCTAGGTAATCCCAGCTGATCCACACCCAGTTTAGCTTTCAGGTAAGCTAGTTAGAGAACATAAAACTAGATGCTTCTGTGGAGAGCAAGGGAGCAAGTTGAATTGCCAGTCCCTCATGGAAGAGTGTTCACTGTTTGTATTTAGRGTATGATGGAATTAATTGAAATCACCAGGGAATGGTGCTTTGAATTGCTTTTCCTATGTTAAAATTCAGATTTAATTTTGATTTGACTGGAATGAAATATAGCCTATGGGAAAAGGAGATAATTAGAAAAATAAGGTGTTGAGATATTTTTAGTTTTTCTGAGTCTGCATTTAGATGTTATGCCTTAATAAACCAAGCAGTTGAATTAATGGGGAAAATTGGTTTTTAGAATAATTGTTAATTTCTTGGTATTATGACTGTGTTTACCAGCCCTAATTTTATTCACTGGTAATTGTGTTGGTCACAGACGGAGCAGCCATCTTATGTTTTGCGGTGGCCCGCGTGTACTGCGGATCATTTCCATGGCCTTTGTTGGCAGTGCAGGGTCATCACACCCCTTGGTCTTCCAGAGCCAGTAGTTCACACCTGTGCAAAGGCCTCTCTCTCTGACTTATATGGGCCTGAATATAATCTTTCTGGTATTATATTCCAGTGACCGAAATTTGCTCCATGAATATTAAACTCATTCTGGAAGTGTCTTAAACCTTGTAATTAAAAGTCTTTACTCTGACAGAATAATTTCCCAATTGTGAATAATTATTGCTATTGTTATATTTGAAATGTGAAAGTAAAAGAAACTTAATTTGAAAATTAAATGACAAAAATATGCACAGATCTAAAGATATATATTTGGTTTTGTTACCTGATCTTTCCAATCAACCAGCTTATTTGAGATAGTAAATTTAGTAACCTCTGGAGGAACACGATCACATATTTTGGAGATGGGCTCTTGTAACCAAGTGAACAGCGGTGACCTGGAGACGCAGGCTCACCTCAGAATTCTAGTTCTCCAGTTCACTTGGACACTTGTTGCCTTCCTTGTGCTCTGGGCATGTTACACAAAATTCCATGTAAATTATAAGTTGACTGGACTTCTTGACACTGATTACTTTTCAGTACATCTGTCCTGAAATCAAGTTTGGTCACCTTTTCGAGCGACCAAACTTAATTTCAGGACAGATGTACTGAAAGTAACTGTCCTTGCTGTAACTGTCACTAGCTGTCCACACTGACCAAATGGAACGCATAACGGATTCTGTAACAGTCGGTGCTGAGCCTGCAGCCGGCGACATTGTTCTCCCTCCCTGCCTACAGGCCAACCCACTGTCCTAACCTCAGAGGGCCCAGGGTCTCAAGTAGCAGAGGTAGCTGGGCAGGGGACAAGGGCTGCTGTCATTTGGTGCTCAGAGTCAGGTGTTGGTGACAAGACACTTGGCATGTCCTTCTCTGCCTCAAATGACAGGCACACGGACAGCCTTCCAGGTCCAGCTGCCATCGCTGGGGCGAGCTGAAAGGACTGGGGGGAGTCCCGGTTCCTGGTCCTGTCCTCATGGGCATCAATCCAACACATTTTGTGTTTGGCTTTTGCTGGTCAGGAATGGACTGAGTGAACCTCGCCTACCAGGTTGTGGGGGTCTCAGTCCACAACCTGACTCTGCCTTCTCGTTAGAATGCTAGTTAATCCTGCTCTGGTCTCACATTCCCGGGTATGAGTCTCTGCCATCCCTCTAGAGCTGGGTGATATTGGGTGGTGCCTCCCATCTGTAGGCCCCACTTTCCCAGGAGAGTGCTTGCTTCATAGACTTCTGTCAGTACACATTAGCTCTTAGGATTAGGAGCCTGCCCGGCCACCCCACCTGCAGCCCTCCTGCCAGACAATCTGCTGAAACCTCTGAGGGTTAGGGACTAACCTGTAGCCCACTGAGAGAGGCAGACTCTGAATTCTGCACACCATCACTGATGCCAGCACAGCTTTTGAACAGCTGGGGTCTGCACATGATGTCCAGACATCAGCCATCGGTCGATTTTTCTCTGTAGTCCCTGCCTTTCTGGCTGTGCCCAAGAGATGGCAGCTGACCTCTTGCCCCCTAGTCCTCTCCTGGCACAAAACTGTCAGCCTGCAGCCACCTAGAAAATAATCTTAAAACCTAAACTATGATCATGTTAGCACTTGGGCACAGGGGCAGAGGCTGGCTGCTCTGAGTGGCATGGGAGTGCCCCTGTGAGCTGGAGGCCTGTCTTGGAGCTGTCTTTGCAGTCCGTGGACTGCGAGTGGTTGTGAGGTTGTTTTGGAAATGCTGTGTGAAAGTTGTGGGGCCTAAACTACCACCAGGCTCTGGTGAGAAATGTTTCTTCCACCTATCAAGTTTCCTTATCTGCCCTGTGTCCACAGCCATCCAGTTCCCCAGTGCAGCCAGTCGGGGAGTGGGGGGGTGCCACCCTGGTATGACTGTTGGGCATATTGAGTTGATCCATGTTCACATATGCTCTGAGCTAATGTAGGTCTATAAGCATCACACAACCTGGTTATGGACCCAGGTTTGCCAAGGAAAGCATGTCTAATGGAAAAGTATTTTTGGGATATGTGAACAATTGAGGTTAAGTACTGCAGGGGCTGCGCCTATGTTTGAAACTTGGATGTGGTGTTTTGTAACTGTAGAATTGTTAGTTTATTCAGCACGCACTTGAATATTGTAGGAATGTTACATCTCCACAACCAGAATTTAAGTTGATGGTAAAGATTTGTCTTACTCATACTGATTAGCTGTAGGGATATACTGTCTTGCTTGCAACAATCATTCATTAAAATAACTTGATGTCTGATATTTCCTATGTCATATGACTGAAACTGGACTGTTCTGCCTGTTTGTAGATATCAAGTTACACTTTTAATTCTAAAACTTTAAGGAGTGGCATTACAGTTAGTGAAACCAAAGTGACTTACAGGCCAGGGGCGGGGCCCAGTGGCCAGGATGCCTAGACCCGGGGTTCTGTCCCCAGGACCGCAAAACAAAAACAAAAACGAGAGTGACTGGCTGGAACCGTCCTGCCGCCCCGCCCCTGTTCCAGCCAGCCCTCTTTGTGATGCCGGAATGTGGCACTGCCAGATTGACCCGCGATTTCTTTCCCACCATCTTAAAAAGGTTTTCTCTCCCACGTACGCGGGCTCCGCCTACGACCTAGGAGCCATCCGCCTCCCCGGGCGCCGGCTTCCCGCTGCTGAGGACTGAGCGCGACCTCGGACACGGGAGGGCCGCGGGGAGACGCGGGGCGCGGCCGGGCACTTTGTCTCCGGCGCTCAACAGTCGGCGGGGACTCCAGCCCGGCGCCGCGCGGGACTCGGCGGCCCGCGTCCTCGGCCGCGCTCCGGCCCCTCCTCCCGGCGCCTCTCGGTGGCGTGGACCGGGCGGCGCCCGCAGGTCCAGCCCCGGGACGCTGGGTTGGGGGAGCCCCGGCCGCAGGAGGGAAGGGGTGGGAGGCGCCTTCGCTCGAAGTCCCGGGGCTTGGGCGCGGGGATGTGAGGAAGCCGGCGATGCTGCGGCTGGACGCAGGTGGGTGCGGAGGGCTTTCGGGGCCGCCTCGGCCACAGCTGCGGGGGGCGCAGGTCGCTGGACCCCGCGGGGCGCCCGGCTCCGCTCGGCGCTCGGTGACTGAGACCCGCCCCTCTCCCTCCAGGGCACCGATGATCCGCCCGCTCGGCGGCACCATGCCTTTCCCGCCGGTGCCGCCGCCCCCAGCCCCGGCCCCGCGGGTCCCCGCCGCGCGCCCGCTGCCCGGGAGGCCCTGCGCGCCGCCTTCGTCCTCGCCGCCCGCCGCCGCCGCGGGGGAGAAGAAGAGGAGGCCCCCCGAGAGGCCGGAGGTGCTCCTCTCCAGCTCCTGGCCCTCCGCCACCCTGAAGAGGCCTCCCGCCCGGCGCGGCCCGGGCCCCGGCAGGACGCAGCCGCCGACCCCTGCGCGCGCCCCTCTCCAGGCCTCGCCCGGCCGCGCGGGGACGCCGGCCACCGGCGCCACGCCCCGGCTCGTCGGCTCCGGCACCGGCCCGGCGGGGGCCACCTTCACGGGGGCGGTGGCCGGGCCCGACGACGGCATGCGCTTTTCCTTGAGCCTCACCCCCGAGGCCATCCTGGTCATCCAGAGGCGCCACCTGGAGAAGCAGCTGTTGGCTCGGCCCCGCAGACCCTTCCCCTCGCCCTCGGCCGACCCTAGACGCCCCCTCGCCCCGGGCCCCCGGGCCAGGGCCACCGGCCTGCGGAGGGGCGGCGCCACCAGCGGTCCCGACGCGCCCCCAGCCGCGGGCCCTGGGCGCCGCACGCCGCCCCGCGCCCCGCTGCTGCCTGGCGGTCTACAGACCCCGGTGCCCGGCCCTCGACCCGCGGACCTGCGCCCGGTGCTTAAGGTATCGCTGCTCAACGAGCGGCACAAGTATGACGATGTGGAGTACGAGGAGGAGACCGAGGTGGTGGATGAGGGTCTGGTGCGCAAATGCACCGAGTGGCTGCGTGGTGTGGAGTCTGCGGCTGCTGCGCGGGACCGCACAGGGCGCCTGGACACGCTGCCGCACCTGAGCACGCTGTGAGCCAGCTGAGCCTGGCGCCACAGGATGGCCTATACGCCCACCTCCTCCTCCTGAACTCACAGCTCCACCTGGGAACGCGGACCAGGTAGGACTGCGGGGACCTCCAGCACACCTGCCCCAAGTGGACGCACTGGTGGGAAAAGCACAGCCTCATGTGACATCCACCGTCCACCTCGTGGGCACCTGTATGCCAAGTAGGCACTCGTGGGACAAACAGACAGCCCTGTCCAGCTCCCACAGCCCACCTCCTGCCCACTCCACTCACCAGCCAGATGAGTGTTCTCTTCTGCACAATGTGGCCTCTATCTTAGAAGTCCACCCTCTGTACCTCTGGGCCTCCTCCTGGCTTCTCAGCTGTCCTTGCAGTTCACGGGGAAGTAGGCAGCTGTAAAGATGCCCCAGCTCCCACGAGGATTCCTACAGGTCCCAGGGCCCCACTGCCCTGTGCCCTGCCTCCCTCACCCCACCCCTGCATACCCCTCCTCTTTCTGTAGGTGACCACTGTGAGGGTGGGTGGCCACAGAGGGTGCCTGCCATTGTGGAAGTGGGACATGGTGCTACGTTTATGATTTTGCTCTCTTCCAACGTTGGGAGCTGGAAAGCTGGGGAACAGTGCTCCAGTTTCCAGCCGCAGGAGTCCTGTCAATGAGCCGTCTGGGGAAGCACTGCCCCATTGTCACTGCACAGGTGGATTGTCACAGATTTGTGCTCTGCAGGCCGGGTGTGCATCACACTGGCCCCCACACAGGCACCCACACATTCATGTACACAATCACATAGTCACACGCATGCAGACTCATGCATGCATGCAAAAACCAGCACTTTGCACACTCCCATATACATAGTCACACACAGGCACAGGCACTCTCACAGGCACGCTGGCTCATCAGTACATGCACAAATCACACCCTTGTGCACACTCCCACAGACACATGCACAGTTGCACACATGCATACACATATATACAATCACACAACCATGCGAGACACATTTTCACAGTCACACATACGTGTGTGCTCATGCACACATATTCAAATCATTCCCACCCAAGCACACTGCCACATACACACACTTAGTCATGCACRCCTGTTCCCTGAAGCACAGTTTGGGGAATTATTTAATAGCTGGATTGAGGCGGGAGCAGGAGTAAGATTGGGCTTTTGTTAAAAATGTGGTCTTTGTTTGAAGGCTTACAAAATGTCTCCTGTGCCAGGGAAGGAAAGAGCCACCGGGGCCGAGAGTGGTGGCACCAGGAGGCAGGGAGGATCAGTTGATTTGGAGGGAAGCAGGAAGTCCCTGGGGGTAAGGGGGAGGTGTGTACATGTTTTGGTGTTTTTTATCACTGTGAGTAAATCAGTGACATGGTGGCTTTGTACCGCTGTAAAGAGTGAGTTTTAAAAGTGTATTTATTATTTGAATTAAGAGTGAGACACTGTCTCAGTAGCCCCGCCCTTCCCCACTAACTGGATGCCGAATGCAGGACATTTCTTCCATGCTTCTGAGTGCATTGAACTCTAAGGACAAGAAGGAAACAAGGAGTCATGATCAGATAAGTTGGCTGTAGAAGAGTAATGCACTACCTCAATTTTTTACTTATTTTGTAATACTCAATAACCAGTTTAGTGTTGTTAGATTTTAATGTGTCAAGTCTAAATTATATTTTAAATTGAAGCCTTACATTTTTAGAAACTAATTTTATATTTTTCTTGTGGTGATCTTTGCTCTAATATTTATCTTAGTGTGTCTCTCTCTCTCTCTCTCTCTCTCTCTCTCTCTCTCTCTCTCTCTCTCTCTCTCAAGTTCTAGGCACAAATTCCATCAGACATGAGACACTGACTTCAGTGGGAGCTAGATCAGTCACCAGATGAGTTACACAAACAAAACCCCACCCACTGAGCAATTCCTCTTTTCTGACCCCTGTCCAAAAGCAGAGAAATAGACTTTATTTTACCTAAAATGAGTATACTAATACTAAGAAAAGGGAAAAATTAGCAATACTGGCCAAAGTAAATTGGAGACACCCATGTCCCATAAATGTCTTTGTCCTCCAGGAACTTGGCTGAAGGTCAGCTCAGGAGGGCTTGCTGAGTGGGGGAAAGTGGGGCAGGTGGAGTCGGTAATGCCTGAGCTCAAGTGGCACCACCAGGTTGGCGGCACCAGTAGTTAACATACCCTGCTGGCTGCGCTTGCTCATGGGAACATCTGTGTTTTGAAGACTTTTCTGGTGGCCTCCTAAGGGGACCAGCCTACAAGGCATCTTTCTGCCTCAAAGTCCCCACACCCACCTGAAAAACACTGTCACTCTCTTTATTTTCTCTCCCCTCTTTCTTCCTCCAGGCCCCCAGCCCTGTCTCTCTTAACTGGCCACATTTTAGCACATCTCTCCAATCTGCATTTGTGCCCTAGGGTTTGTGCGCCTTGCCTTCAATCTAAGGGCAGATGAGGGGAATGTGTGTCGCCCTTTTTGATCAGAGGTGTGTACATGATGTGTAAGGTCTATTCGTTGCTGTTCCTGACATGTTCCTGATTGAGAACATTTGCTAAGTCACTGTGCTACAATTTCTTACTGTTTAAATAAAAAAGAAACTCAACAGCTTGTTTGTCTCATTAAATAAAAAAGAAACTCAACGGCTTATTTGTCTCATGGGGAAGATGTGAATTCAGGACAGAGAGAGATCTCTGGAGTATGAAGAGCGGTGCTCGCCTCAGGGCCAGGATTTCAGGGGTTGGCTGAGGGCAACTGATTTCACTACCTGAAATCACTTGGATTCAAGGATTCTAACAATGAATATGATCTGAGAAGGCAAAGCCAAATATGCAATGACACTTAAACTTTGAGGACTCACAAATCCTCATGAAGGCAATATTCCAAATATGCTCCTGAAAAATGCACCACATARCAAGAAAATTACATAATCTATATGTATTTCATATAAATTAAAGCTCACAGATCCCAGATGAAGAACTCCTATATACACTCATTAAAATACTTTGCTTTTGCCTAGGATAGTTTCAAACTGGTTATATCAATCAGAATCTAATAGGTTAATATGAATCAGAAAGTAAATGTTCCATTTGAATATCAGCTGAGGCTATTAGATATGACAAAGGGAAATATTGCTTATTAAGTATGCTTTGTCTTTGTATTTTTGGGTCCACATAGAAAAAAAAATAATGAAAGAATCTCTAGAAGTGTGATTGGAAAAAAATGTCCCCCATCTCTGTGTGTGTACATGCCTACCAGTATTATCAAATTCTCCCGTGACTGGATTGTCCAATAGGAGGGAGTGAGGCCGACTTCCAGCCAGGGGGCACCTTGCATGTGAGGCAGGGGAGAGCACTGCACCTGTATCTATGCACATGTCAGTTCTGAAGATTGACCATGTAAAACTTCATTCCATGATTTAGAGAATACCTGGAGCTTTAAGATAGGTTATTTGTGTTGCTCTGCTTTTCTTTAGACAAAGTGGATGCCAAAGTGTCAGAAATTTAGTTCTCTGGTTTGTCAGAAATTTAACAGTTCCAGAAATTGAGCAATTCAATTTCCAGCGGGCCATCTGTAGGTTCGGGACAGGTTGAACTTCCTCCAAGATCATGATTTTCTACCTTTGTGTTTCGGCATGGTAGTTTCAGCCAAGTGTAGTGTATCATTCAAAGAAAATACTAAAATAGAAATCTCTCTAATGAAAGAAAAGAACAATTTTGCATTAACATCAATGTATATGGATGCCTTTGTCACCTGTGGGAAAAGCCCAGGTTAACATATCTCAGACCAGTGATGCTTCTGGGCAGGTACTGATGGGAAGGGGGCTGATGCCCCCGTGGCCTGCCATGGTGACCTCATGTGTACCCCCCCAGGGGCTGAGCATCTCTGGTAGCATGGGGGAGAAGGCCCCACACCCCAGGAAAGCTGGGCTTTGGAGACCAGAGTTAATGCTGATGCTGTCATTCATTCGCCAGCTGTCTCGTTACACTTCTGTGTCTGCTTCCCCTTCTGTCTAGGAGGGTGATAACGCATCCATGATCCTGGTATGAGGTAAAGGGTACACTTCAGAAAATGCCTGCTGTCTCCACTCAAGACAACTGTAATTTCTCACTATCTCAAAAAAATCTCCACTGCTCAAAAAATACCACTCTCTGACACTCTTATGTGCACCTTTGGTGGGGCTGCCCTTTCACTTCCCATAGGTATTAAAGAATAAAAATGTCGGCTGATCTGGGAGAAGAACTCAGCGGCTTGGCATTCTCAAGACCCTGAGTTCAATCCACAGAACTGGGACTGGGGGGCAGGGAGGGTATTTTGTTGTTGCTGTTGTTGTTGTTGTTTAGTATCTATTTATTTTTTAGATGTAGTTGGACACAGTACCTTTATTTATTTACTTTTACATGTTGCTGAGGATCGAACCCAGGGCCTCACACATCACAACCCCAGCACTACGCTATTGTGTTTTACTGCCATATCTCATTTATTTCCCGAAGACAAAAATGTGGTTCTGAGTTTCATGGTAGCAGATGCAAAGTTAGAAGTAATGTATTATATAATCTCAACATTTAATAACAAGAAACATGTTATAAGAGACATTTTAGAAAAAAATTATTGTATATGTTTAAACACAAGTCATAGACCTTATGTCCTTAAATGCAGTGTCTCCAAGATGTATGAATGCTTGTGAAGTGGCACCCCCTTTCTCCACAGAAAAGCCCTCTTCACCATGGCTGATGTTAGGACTGTCAGCAAAAGAGTCCATTGTAGATAAACTTCCTATTTTCATGTCGCCCTGTTTACTTGGCCACTGGCCGAGAAGATACCAGCACTCCAGGTGCTGGACACCCCTTACTAGTTATCACAAACGTATCCAGTATAGTACTTTGAAGAAATGTGCAAACAAGGCCTCTGCCTTGAGCTGGGCTTCACAGAGATGTCTACATCCTTAAGTTACAATGGGCTCCATGGTAACAGCTGGCAGGGGAGGGAAGAGAGGGGAGAAGAGGCTCTCCCC